CTGGAAATAAGGTGAATTTTAATTCCTTTTAAGGGGACCGAGGGGGGCAAGCCATCTAAATGGTGGGTTTAACAATATAGGGTCAGGAATACATGTTTGTGTTCCTGACCCTATAGTGTTCCTATAAGGGAGATATAGTCCACAACATCTGCAGTACCGAAGGTTGCCTACCCCTGCTCTATGCTCTGCCAATCACATATGCCCTAATGTATTTGAGTGTCCACTTACGATATCCTCCCACAGGTGAACAAAATGGAAATATGTGCATATGTATTGTTGGTAGTTAGAGGTACATTTGGGGCTCTAGCACTGATTGATGGAGATAATTTATTTTTTAAGTATTATTATAAATTTATTTTTGCAAGACAACAGAGTGCTGATATATAAAGGCATAGTCCGGAGATAGGTGTTTTATTTTTTATTACAATTGGATCTAATGCCTTGCCTCAAATTTAAACAATGATGGTGTAAGTGTAGCCCTCACTTATTTTTGTTCACCCAGACATCAGCACACAAATATGCGAAATCCCAGCAAAAATGCTCTTTACTTATTTTCATACAACCCGTGGCTGTAAATTAGATAACAGTTCCTGTTATGTTGTGGTTTCCTTAGCTCAGTGGAGCTAAACGAAAGAGGCAGAAATTGCTCAGATTACCTGCCTTGCAAATACTTCTCAGTGAGCTGCATCAGGAAATCTGTGATTGCACAGTCACAGAAAGTCTGGGCGGGGTTAGAAGGAGACTTGCAAAGGCTGCAGACAAGAGATCTGCAGCCCTTGCAAGCTATTTTTAGATATAAAACCAATAAAAAAAATATCCATAATTAAATGCATACGTTTTCATTGGAGATATATACACTAAATACTGCAGATTTAAAAAAAAAAAACATTTTTTTTATTTATTTTGCTAGTGGAGTGTCTTTTTAAGAATAACCAGTATTGCCTCCATAAATATTACCTTTCTTTCATGGTGTTGCAAATAATTATGATACACGAATACAATTCGGGTTGGGCTAGCAACTGGGGGTGAGAGAGTTACTAGTCTATTTTTGGATTAATCTTGGCAGGTCTTGTCAACCACATGAATCTGATTTTATAATAGATCATAGAAAGTATGATCCTTTATTTTGAGAGCTTTCTTTTTAATACCATGGATGTGAGGCATAAACTTTGCATACTATTTAAGTTTACAAAATAGATGGGATTTAGTTTTTTTTTTTTTTTTCCCTGAATACAGCATTTGGCAATGTATCTTTCTTAAAAAAAAAAAAGCAGTCAAGAACAAAGCTGTCCAGTGTAATTAAAACCATTACAATGAACAAACATGACATGCTTGTTTGGCGCAACACTAATCAACAGGCTTTTTTTTTTTACCCTGTTCATGTTTACATAGATACCTGTCCTCGACTTTACAGCTCTGAGCTGTACTAGGCATATTGGAGTTCAACTACCAATAACATTCTATAGTGGATATCCATCCGTTTGTGAGTAATATCTGTCTTTTGTGCAAGAAAAGTGCAAGAAAGAAATCAGTGTTTGATAACCGTTTATTGTGGATATTGAGCTGCATATAAAATGCACTAAACCTAAATACAATTTTTATCACAAGTAACTGAACACATTGCTTTTTAACCAATTGGAGTTGTTCACTAAAGTGAGAATTCAGAGTGACTTTCTAATTTAAGGCCAGAGTAGCCAAACTGAAAGAATAGCTGGTTTCGAGAAGTTTTCCAGTTCGGCTGTTTTACCTTAAATTTGACTTCACTTTGAATTCTCACTTTAGTAAATAATGTTGAATATGTTCTAAATCTGCCCGGACTTGTGTTTTGCTTTGATATTTCTAGATTTTTGTGCCCTTCCAACACAAGAAAGAATAGTCCATCATGCAGATCTCATCTGTGGCATATGATTAAATGGTACATGTCAATGCTATGTTATATTGCTACTTTAAGGGAAATTGTCACTTTTCTGGATTTTTATTATTTTGTATTCCTATTTCATTTATTTAACGGAAAAATATTTGTGAGGTGTGGAAAATATTATAAAACATAGAAATCCGCACCTCTTCATTATGCACCTGGGCGCCTCCATCTTGGCTCCCTGTCAATCATTGTTATAAATTTTGTCAATCACACCTGGCAGTCAGCATAGAGAAAGCACACAGACAAGTGAAGAAATGAAACAATGTTTCTATGTCTCCTCTTCACTTTCAATGTTTGCCCCAGCTTTCCCTTGTCTGAATGGGATTATAATGTCAAATCTTTAATATAAATTTAAAAGAAAATAGAGCATCTCATAAATAGATGGTCCAATATTTTATTCCATAATTCCAGAGAAGTGTCAGTTCCCCTTTAGCCAGCTGGACTTTTAATATATCTGTTAACAGAACAGTACCTTCAGGTACAGAGAAATATTTGAATTTGGAGACTGTTTATCATAATCCTCGATGGTCCATGACGGCCCCGTCTTCTTTGGTTCACTTTTCTCTTCTCTTCTTACATCCAGGAATAAAGGATTACTCTTAATTGTAGATTGTATTATTTCTGGAGTGATGTGGCTGCGAAGTGCATTATCTTCTAATGTAGGACTTTCTGTTGTTGGTGACTGCATAGGCATATCATTGTCCCTCTGTTAAAGAAAGGAAATAAAATTGTATAAAAAAACTATACACAACATATAAAGTACACAAAAATACAAGGAATGTATAAGTCAGTGTAACCTCTTTAAAATGTTTAACAGGGACACATGGAATTAAGAACTAGCATGTCATTAGCAGTAGTACAATCTTGTCTGTATCTGTGTTTATGAAGAAATAAATAACGAGAATGTATTTTTATACTCTTATTTACTTTTGCTAATTACCACAATAATTTTATAAAGGTTTAAATATATAACAAATATACAGAGATTAATAAGTACATTCTTCAAGTAGATTTGAAAGCCTCCAAATTACACGCAAATAACAAAAGTGCCAGAAATATACAAAACATTATTTAATTGAACACAGTCTTTAGTACTCTCTCACCATTGGGTGCCTTATTCTCTTTTTAATTGAACCTTAGCATTCTTGAATTTTTGTATTTTTTGTGTTGTACCCTATTTGCTATAGTACGCTAGCAAATCTGTTTTTGTTTTGTTCTAAGTACTTGGGCTGATGAATTGCTGTCACCCAAGAGTTGTGGGAGTTTGAGCTTATTTCTATGTGAAATATCAGTATACGCTGCATAGTATTGACAAAATGTCACATACACCATATAAACCAAATGTCATATAAATCATATAAACATATAACCCAAAGTAGATCGAAAAACTAATTAACTAATGTATTAGATTGTGAGCTGATGTGAGAGATAAAAAGTAAACAGAAAAAAAGCAATAAAGAACTACATTTTGTCAATTATAATACTTAAAACATGTTGGCAATTATTTTTAAGTTGATGTGTCACTGGTATATGAATGAGAAAGTAAAATTAGTTTTGCATTCAAAAACCCATCAAATAATCTGCAGCTGGTCACCCTTTTAAAAAATTTAATGTGTTTACTCCGAGACCACATCTTACCTGCCAGTATATTTTGTTGCGCCATTGCCTGGCCTGCAGCACCCCAGAATTTGCAATTAGAGCCCGTACATCTAAACGGAGGAATTTGTCTGGGTGATTGTTATTCGGTAACACAGATAGATCCATGCTTCAGGCTCATTGTATAAAAAGAGAGCTATTACGTCTCAGAGCAGTTCCGGTTTTACTTTTACATTATTCATTAAACAGACAATGATCTCGTAGGTGAATGAAATTTTATCTGGTTAACCTTCCATCTACTAAAGAATGCATTTAAACCGTCCAAACAAAGGGAACCTTTCAATTTCTGCTTTTAGCTACACTAAGTGACATTGCAATAGTGCAATATTAGTATCACTAATAAAGTGATTAAAGTAAAGGAAAATTATTACAGCCTTTAATAAAATAAAATGTAAAAAACAACAACAGGAAAGCAATTGAACGAATACATAATTGTGACATGTGTTTTTATTAAAATCATGTGACGGAGGAATTCTGGAGACCAGGCCATAGATCGAGAAGTTTATGATTGTCTCCAGAATCCCGTGCTAGCATTATTTTCCCCAATATATTGTTCAGAGATGTATCTTATTTACATTGCATGGCTGTTTTATGTATTGTTTTGCTTTTTTGTTTTTTTCTAATTGATCTTTTTTTCTCAAATGCAAGAAATTGAAAATGAAGACACAATTCAACTATGGTCGATGTTTTACCTTTGAACTTAAGGAGAGCTGCTGATCCCCCTGCAGAGTGCATGGACTCTAGGCAGCTGCACCTTTTGTGTTTCATTAAAAACCTCTCATGTCAACTTGAAAACTTATATTCTTCATGGCCATCACATATTTTAGAGATAAACTAAGCAGAAGGAGGTAACTGAATCACCAAAGTCTCGGGTATGGGGTTTGTATTTCTCATATAGAATTCCTTTCAGTTTAGTTTACATCCATTTAAATTTTACCATACACAGGGCAATGCCTATTAGAGAGCAATTTCTCTTGGAAGCATATCTTTTAGATACCCACATAAACAAAACAATATATAACAGCAATACAGAATGTGGACTGAGGGCATTGCATGGTTTGGAAAAGGGAGGAGGTAAATAATGATAGTAGGGAGCAGTTTCCACAGAAAGACATACTTTGGCAATTTTTATTATTATTATTGCCTTTTATATAGCGCCAACAGATTCTGTAGTGCTTTACAATATTATAAGGGGGGAGGAGGGAGTTTAACTATAAATAGGACAATTACATGAAAAGTTACAGGAACGATAGGTTGTAGAGGACCCTGCTCAAACGAGCTTACAGTCTGTAGGTTACACCCATAACAACAACATCCGTCCTCTCTTAATAATTAGAATTTAGGTAAATTCCTCTAATAGCAAGTAAAAATAAAAATATATATAATTTTTTTACATATCGGTCACCTCATGAATATTACTGCTGCTTGACATGATAAAAGTAACAAATATGAGGGATCTTAACTGAACAGAGCAGGACATAGAAGTGCTACCCCTCTGAATGAAATAATTTGTGATGTGTGGAAGATAGATCATTGAAACAAATTGTGATTCTTCTATGAGCCAGTGGTCACCAGTAAGTATATGTAATGCTGCACTTGGCACAATTTGATTCAGCATATTTTATAATAGCATTAAATATTTATTACATATGAAATGCTTCACTATATTTTCACTATAAAATTGAGTTAGTCCTCCGTAAATTTGTACAAGAGAATAAAGAGAATACAATCTTTAGCACTAAGCATAGTTTTATGATTTGGAATAGCAATAGTTAATTGGGCAGAAGTGTTCCACATGGCCTGGGGAGTAAGAGGCAACCACTTGCAATAGCACTGCAGAATAGAATTCTCAAGTTTCCTCTTTAATTAGAAGTTAAATCGCACGTTAACCAGTAGCTCAGTGTTACTTTTAGGAGTGATTTATAAAATAAAGAAGAGAATGACTAGAAAATGGACATTAGAGGAGGGAGTACAATTTTATTTTATTTTGTATTGTTTTCTTGCTGTGATACTTTATTCTTGCAGACCAAACCAAAATATGAATGTTTAAGTGTTCTCTCTAGGGACATTCACAGCAGCTCCCCACCAGATACTTCTTATAATAATATTTTTATTTTAATCAGTAAAAATCGTTAACATGCATAAAACGTGATAGGTACATTAGAGCTAAACTGTATTACATTTGCCTCTTTAATGAATATAGTTTCCTCTATCTTTATAAATTATTGTCTGGAGAGGTTTCAAGCTCTTGGGACACTTGAAAAAAAATACCAAGTTTTATTATAGACCTCAGATATTCTATGCTGCTTTTACAATTTATTTTTCACATTACCCATGCACTATCATTTGGAGCTTTGCATCTGGTATCTTAGAAGAGAGACATACCATTTTCTTGATTTCTTAATTTTCTTTTTTTTCCAGGGTTATCTCTGGCTCATACAAGATGTTATGAAAGAGCTTTAGAGGCCGACGTGGAGCTCCTGATGTGACCCACCTTTCTGCAGCATTAGTCTCATCCATTTACCCAAAGCACACACATATATACACTGTATGGACAAAGGTATTGGGACATATGACCATTACACCACCAGGGACTTTTATGACATTGCAATCTAAATACATAGACATCAGTTTTGATGCTGGATTGATTTTGGAGTTTTTCAGTGGGAATGTTTGCTCATTCATCCAGTAGAGCATTTGTGAGTTCAGACAATGATTTCGGATGAGAAGGCCTCCGTTTTGTGCATTGGGGTACAGTCATGCTGGAATAGAATAGAAAAAGGCCTTTCCCAAACTGTTACCACAAAGTTGGAAGCATATCATTGCCCAAAATGTCTTGGTATGCTGAAACATTAAGATTTCCCTTCACTGGAAGTAAATGGTCTAGCACATACCATTATCTAGAGGATGGTATGTAGGAAAGAATGTCAGAATATACATATTTGTTTTTTACTTATTGGGGATAAAAGCGTTAAGTCGATGTGTTTTGTTATAAGGTGCATATTTCATAATCAGGAGATATTGCATATCCCCAACATCGGCGTAAAAGGACGGAATGTTGGGACTATGCTTGGTATATGATTCATTATAACATGTACTCCTTACTTTTTAATTCAAATGATGCTCTGCTTAGTTGTAGCCCCATCACATTGTGTGGATCTGTGAAACTTGCTGACGTAATAAATAATAATCATATATTGCACAAGTAATTGATACACAATTTGTTACTGTTAAATAAGACTTGCTGTGCCAGTTCCAATTTCTTGAGTAAACCTTAATACACACAATCCACAAGCACATTTAAACAAGCTATTTTTTTATTGAAAATCAGGTGCATAAACATGAACAATATCTTTTCATAAAGAAAATCTTTAATATTCCCAAATATTTCACCTAGATTTTTTTTTTTCATTTTTACATAGACCTTTTTATTCAAAACACACATGAAACAAAAAGTATCAAGAGCAAGAAAAAGGCAAACGGCAGAAAGAGGATGCAGTTGTTTTCTGTAATATGTTTTCAGCATTTGCGTGTTTAAGTATTTACTGCATTGGCTGCAACTAAAGCTAATGGTATCTGTATATATTTGTTTTATTTGTGAAGACTGTAGTCCAGTGAAAAGGCATAATCTCCATTGAATGTGTTTATTACTTAACAGTGCAACAGTGATTGATTCAGTGTAAACGTATACAGTGTTTGATTTTGCATTCAAGTTGTTGTGCGCAACATACTTTACTGTCCTGAGTATCAAGCAGTTGGCCAAGAAAAGTGTAAAAAGACAATCATTGACTTCACATTTTGACACAAGTTAGGAACTTTATGGGCAATATGTGTGAAGAGCAATTTTGTGGCAAAGTGCTGAATGTATTGGGTAGCAAAGTTCCTTTAGTTTCCATGATGATGACTCCACATTTATCATTCTGCTTGAAATATGTTCTTTTATTGTCTCATGGGTCCCAATGGCAATTATTTCTAAGAGCAATTGAGCAACCTTACGTGGCAAAATCAGGAACATTTCTTTGGTTTCCATAGTCATTTCTACATGATGATTGCTCCACTTTTAGAACATCGTGTCACCATTGCTCTTTATAAACAATACCCAAAAGAAATAAGCTTCTCATGTTGACATAAATATTGGGTATTCAGTAAGAAGCCACTTTTGTGTCTTTTGGCCAATAGTACAGTACTTTTATAGTCTTCTGGTTCAGCTTAAGGGACACTAGTTATTCTGTAGAATACTACAGGCATTAAAACAACTTTAGCTTAATTAAGCAGTTTTGGTGTATAGGTCATGCCACTGCAGTCTCACTGTTCAATTCTCTGCAATTTATGAGTTGAACCGCTTTTGTTTATGGTTCTGCAGCCCTAGTTACACCTCCTCTGACTGTGACACACAGCCTGCATGAAAAATAAAAATAATTTTTACTCAGATGTTAAATGACTTCACTAGTTTTTATCTCCTGCTCTGTAAATTGAACTTTAATCTCACACAGGAGACTCTTCAAGGGTCTACATGGCTATTAACAGAGCAGGAAATACCTAATTATAAATTAAAGAGACTGTGTAATAAAGGTTTAAACTTTAGATCTCTCTTTACATGAAGTGTAAGGCAGGTAATTCCTAAATGGAAAATAATGGAGTAGTGAGACTTCAGGGGCATGATCTCACAAAAAACTATTTTATTAAGTTAAAGTTGCTTTGGTACCTATAGTGTACCTTCATATTTAAATATCAGTTTCAATATTGCAATATTAGTCACATTAGTTTCACACAATATGCACACACTTTTCTAAGTAATTTTAGCTTGTTCTCAAAATGTATTATTTGGCATTATACACATCATGCAAATAGATTTTGGCAAATAAATAGAAAGTATCCTATTACCCATTTGTATATAGATGCTACAATTTAGATCTTTAATGTGCTAGAGTACCAATAGGCTTCACATATGACAACTTGCTACTCTTCATTATTACTTGTGTACCATTCCTCATGATTGTAGTAGTAGGAGCCCAATTACCTATTACTTTTAAGAGGAGCACAACTGAAGATTCACTTTCTTCTATTAACATGGCAATGGCATAGTCACACCCAGCAGAGTGTCTAATCAGTTCAGTTTTGTAAACTCTAGTTGCCAGTAGCCAATTAAGATCAAGTTTACAGTTGAGATCAATTATCTTTTCCTTGCTCTTTCCTGCCACCATGCTTAAAGGAACAGCTTAACCAATGGGTTATGGGAGTAGTCATCTAAGACTACTGGAGGCTACAATGGAATAGATCAACATTGTTGTTATTTTATTCATACACATGTGAATAATATTAAAAGGAAATAAGAAGGGAAAGCTCAGTTCTCTAACTTCATCATTTTTTTTTTTTAATAATAATTAATTATTATGCCAATTCATCTACCTATGTTTGGGATCTTTGTATCCCAACAGTCCCTGGTTTGGTGGATCAGTTTCATACTCTGCATCTTGTCCTGGGTTTACTCTTTCATGTCCCGGATTAAAGGATACTAGAGACCAAGCCCCGACAAGGCACTGCTCAAGTCCTTTTTGGCACTCTGTGCATGTGCTGCCCTCAGTGGGTCTGGACAGCTTTCTAACGATGCACTCACGCTACACCAGGGATGGTGGGTGGTTACTGATGGCCCTGCCAAATCTCAGACACTTAGGAGGTATGTTAATAAGCATATCCATAACATCTCTATCAGACCAATGACTGAAATATACCCAATACTTTTTAGCATGCTTGAGCACCATTGTATTGTAATATGCATGCACAGAGCAGTGGGCATTACCTAAATATAACACAGAATATCTAGAATCCAGTGGGGGCATTCCATACCTTTAGCTAATATATTACATTTGACACTTAGCTATAGGTTAGGATTAACTTGTACCTTGAACTGAACCAGGAGACAAATGACTGGTGATTAGAATTGTGTGGATGAAAGTAGTACAAGATATTTTCTGGAATAAATCTTAGCAATATCGCAGAAACATAAAAGCTTAGCTAGAAAAAACAAATAGTTAATTAGAGATCAGTTTTATGGCACAAAATATATATTTTTTTCCATTATTTATATGACATTTGTTTCAGCTTCAAAATAAATACCTGAAATCAATGTTTAATTTCTGGCTTAGCACCTTTAGGGAGCAGAACATTCTGCTATCCCAGTTCCTAAAACCTATAATACTCAGTGCAGATTTTATACTGTTGTACAAAACATGACAGTACGGGTCAGCTCTTTGGTATCATTCACTTCTTTAGCAGTATAATTGGGAGGAACCATTTAACATAAGCACTCATAAAAAATGAACAAAGTGGTAAATAAAACTTTCCATACAAATAGTTATTTCAACATTATTCTATAAAGTGTTTTTTCCCACCCAGAAAGTGCTTATATTAATTACCATTCTGGCATATGTATGGCACAAGGTGAATTCGATCTTTTTCCATTGTAAAAGGCCTTGTTACCTAGAGCTGGGTTTTGTAAATTGGACCCATATAATGACTAAATGGTTGAAATATCCAATGAGCTACATAATCTGCTTCATATAATGCCTCTGTTAATATATCTCAGTTAAATATCTCTACATTTAACTTTTGAAATAGGTGTTTGAGAAAGTTCATTTTGTGGCAGCTAACAATAAACTATACCAGCTAGGCTATATTATCACCTGTTGATTATATCCTGACAAGTCATTGAGGAGTATTTACAAAACAGTGAGATGATGTTGACCGAACATGCAAGTTTTCCAAGTTGTCTAAGTTGTCTAAGTTGACCGAATATATGGTATGATATTATTCAATATGAAAAAGAAATAAAAATTTTTAGAAGATAGTTCCAGAGAAAAGTGAAGATTTCTTAGGGCCCTAAAAAGGTCGGCAGCTATTCTCCATTCTTCACATAGGAATGGTGAATGGGGCCTAGCAAATGCATGGTTCCAGTCCAACCTCTAGTCCAGGGGTAGGCAACCTTCGACACCCCAGATTCTGTGGAGTGCATCTCCCATAATGCTCGTACAGACATAATGCTAGCAAAGCATCAGGGTAGATGAAGTCCACAACCCTTGGAGTGCCAAATGTTGCCTACCTTGCTGTAGTCCCTAGGCGATCACTTTATGGTTAATTTTGCTCTGGATAATTTTCCAGATTATTAATTGAGCACAACTCACTGTTCAGTGAACAAACCCCAGGAGAGTTGTTTTGCATGATTGCATTGTGTGTGTGTTCGTGTATGTATGTGCATGTATGTATGTATGTATGTATGTATATTTGAAAAAGAGCTTGTGCATTTTTTATATTTACTTATTTTTTCACATAATGCAGTTTGGCGATGATTCATTGAATCCAGCCATATCTTACTGGCCAGTAGCATTACAGGCTAAATAAATAGATATGGACTGGATCATCAGATTAAGTAGAATTTCATGGCTGCAAACACAGGCATTGTGAAGCTCCTGACTTTCTATAATGTAGGCTACAAGAAAA